ATCAGCATTAGAGAATATACATACAGTATACACACAGATATACATTCACTGCGCAACTGTTTGTCACATTTATTTCCATGCCCATGGTATGTACATATACACTTACCGTCGGTGATAACTTCCGACGCCAGCTTGCCAACAAAGTACTTCTCATAGACCATACGCAATATGTCACCTGTCGCAGGATCCACAGATATATGTGCGATAATGCCGTTGGCGAATAGCAGCAACACTTGCGCAGCATCACGCCATTCGGTATGTACAATTTTATAACTACGCAGTAATTCCTCCAAGCGTTTAATGTTATCCTTCAACCGGCCAGGTGCCTTGCGGCTATTCTTAAGCACAGTCACACCATTACGCCGCTCAGTGTAATCACGCTTAGCGATCGCTGTTAGCTCAGCGTTCTGTTGCTGTGCCTCACGATTGCGTGTATAACGGAAGGCACCCAGGTCGGTTGATTTAATGCGCAACTCATCGCGTACACTCCACAGATGACATTCACCGAGGAGCGTTAGCATTGCAAATGCTTGTGGTTGTGGTTGGAAACGTCAAGCAGTTGACTCTCAATAACTTTTGTTTATATTATATAAAATAATATATTTCTGTAATTTTCTATGCTTGCAATACTCTCACATCATTTATCGTTAGACGACTTGATGCACTACTACACTTTTTGCACATGCAATTTCCTAATGAAATTATGCACAACGGGAATTTAACAAACCACAACTCCAGGTCTCGTTTTAAGCATACATGTGCTAATGTTATTCCAAACTTATCGCGAACAAACGCCGCTACAAGAATATTTCTATATGCGTCTGCTGTCTCGCGGTTAGAGTCGCCGTCGTCACCACAGCGTCACAGCTAGATCCCCGAAGAATTTGGCTAATTTATGCGCTGCAATAATATTACTTGATATATGTTGCTATTGTTATTGAGTTAGTATTTAATGTTGTTTGCATTGTTGTTGTTGTGCTGCTGTTAACTGCATGCCTTTTATTGCCCTACTGATCGTATGGATGCGCAAGTTTGCCTACGTTGTAGTCATTGTACTTGCGGACCTGTTGCTTCTGCGTATTGGTATTTCAAGCAATTTTATGTTTTAGTACATTTATTTACACTTGTACTTATGTAGCACGAAATCACAAAGTTTTCTCAAAACTGCACAACAATATCGCAGCTATTTTGTTCAAAAATAAATATATAAACACTAATAACAATAAAAAAATTGCACGCAAATTGACAATCAACAATGAATTGTTGCTTCTGCCCGATTAATGAACGATCAGAGATGAGAGAAAAGCAGAGTTGCACACAGAAGTCATGACAACTACACTGCAAGCAATAATTGGTAATGTCAAATTAATATTAAATGTGTGTATATTGAGCAAATTGCTATATTTTATTATTTTACGGTAAATAACACAAAAATGGTTTTTTATTTAAAAAATTAGAAATAAAAATTAGAAAGAAAAATATTTTACATATAAATATATATTAATAAAAAAGTATATATTTTTTTAAATTAATAATGAACTGTTATTATTTTTATACCCTGAACATATATCCCATAAAGTTTGTAACAGCCAACGAAAACGTGGGAGTCCTTATAAAATAAGCAGAGACGAGCTACATCGATTTTGCCATGTCTCTGTCTCTCTGTTTATTTCGCGATATCGATCTGAAAATTCGTAAGCATCATTTTCTCCACAAGAAGCTACTCATTTTCCGAAATCGCCGATATCAGACCAGTATAGGATATAGCAGCCATGCAAACAGTACGATTAAAGGCACAATTCGCATACTAACATAGTGTTTGGATCGGACCACCACAGCATATAGCCGACAACTGACCAAATTCAAGTTCTTATAAGGAAAACTTTTTTGTCTGACGAGATATCTTCATGAAATTTGGCACGAATTATCGTCAAAGATAATACTGCAATTTCCTTTCGTGCTACCTATGTATTTAAAAAAATTCAGATAAAACCCACACAACAAACGTTTCTGCACTATAATAAATAAATATAAAAGTTCAAAGGTTTTTATTTAAACAAAAATTTTTATTTCATTTCAGTTGTTGTAATGTATTTTAAAATAAACAAATTCACAAATTAATTCACAGATCTTTTTTTCGTGTTCCTCGTTCACATTTTTATATATTTACTTAGGTTTTTTTTAATTTAATTTTTAAGTATTTCATTCAGTTTGCCATAGTTTCTACGTCAAGTTTACTTTAAAGCAAAATCGAAAAACTCTTACGACACTAAAACAAGTAACATGGATATATTTACGTGTATATATTTAAATATATGTATATGTGTGTAAATTATTTTTATACTTAATGTTATGTAATTACATATGGAAATCTGTACTAAACAGCTACAAAAACATTAAACCTTCATCGCACAAAAATAGAATTAACGTAAAATCGCAATCTTGCAAGCTTAACGACAATTTATTTCGATATTTATTTTTTATATTTTCAATATTATATCGTCACCCAAAATGCAAAACAGGGTGTCATCAAAAAAATCAAAATTCGCTAGCAGATCATAATAACCAATACATACCCATTTTATAACCANATAAAATTGTTATATAATTTATAATATATTGGTTATATCTTACATGTGTATATGTAATATGTTGTAACGAATCGTAAGCAATAAATAACGCAATTGCAATTGTGATTGATTATACATTGTTTTGCAATTTAGGTGACGATGTGAACATCCTCTTACGCTAACGGTGGCAAAGTGACGCAAAATGACTTTGAACACTTATAATCAAAAAGGAATTTACAGATGTTTAATTGTTTTATTTTCGCTACAAGCAATATTTTAAATTTTTTTACAAAAAGGAAAATAATAATAATTGCAAACATACATATTTATTAGTTCAATGTATGAATTTCAGTATTTTTTTGTAGGCTCGTATTTATATATATATGAAATTCAAGTTGCAGTTTGACTGTGTTGTGCTTTAAGGACTTTGTAATAACATTATTAATATTGTTTGCATTATTTTTATGTATTTCATTGTTGTTCTTTATATAACTTAATTTTATACAAGGCATTGCGATATTTGCTAACGTTTTGTTATGCGTTTATGTACATACATATATATAGTAAATGACTTTTTGGACGACGATGCGTTTACAAGACAAATAATGTAGACACGTAGAATGTATGCGCCTAAAAGTATGCCAATTTGCAATAAATACGCTGTCGCGCTTATTTTTAATTTTGGTATTTTTTGTTAAAGTTTGCCAAATTAACTGTAAATCATTTCATAAAATTTTATAAATTTTAGTTCAAGTGTATGATTTCATACAATTTAATTAATTCAAAATATTTAAAGAGCAAATATACTTTTAGGCGCTATACCACGCAGTCTTACAGCTCATGTGACATCTTGGAAAAACTAACATAAATTTTATCACACCTCTTTGCGACTACATACTATTTACACAGCAACTTATATTTAGTACTTATTTTTTACAACTATTTTGTGCCAATTAAATATTTATAGTATACTCAGTAGTTAATAAGATTTTTTTTAAATTTATTTTAACAATTCTATATGAGCTACTTTGCAGTCTGACTATAGAGCAGCCTTATTCATTGTTTCGATTCCGAATTTGGTTAAAATATGTTTGTTTGTGTTTTATTTTTGTTTCTGTTCGTGGTCAATTTCATGTACAAGTAAAATAACTAAAGCAAAAAATAAAAATAAAAGTTAATGCTTATTTCAAGTATGTATATATTATTTAGCATTAAAGCAAATATTTTGCTAAACAAAATGTGCTTAACAAATTAAAATGTTTATGGCATGAGCAAGTACGTATGCATTTAGTTGCATTAATTATAGTGCATATGACTTATAAACTTAAAGACGAGTGTGTAGGAAATTAAATATAGCACTTCAAGTGTTTATCTATAAATATGACGACATACATAAATATGTCTGCGCATCAAATGTGTATCGACGTTCAACCAATTGTTTTGCTTCATTTCAATCAATATGTACTTAGTGTAAAAATAATAATTTATAATTAACATTTTAAGTGGAATAATTAAATTATTTAACACTAAAATAACGTTTTTAACCATTAAAGCGTACAAAGTACATAATTTTACATACATAAATAAGGTTTCGTAATTTTTGTTTTTTAATTGTTTTACAATTAGTTTTTATATGTGCACTAAGGTGAGTGTGAGTGTGTGTTTAACAATTTTTTTTGTTGCATAATACATATAAATATATAAATTTATATTATAGCCGCAAGATCTACACTATAGATCTGGAGAAAAAAATGTATAAAACACAACAAATTCAAAAATTGTGTTGAGACAATATATATTAAGTTAATAAAATAAAAATAAAAAAATTAAATATTGCAAATATAAATTTGCTGAGCTAAAGAAATGTCTGCGGCAATACAAGTCACGGACTATTAAGTTCATTTTATGAGCACAAATTAAGTGTTTTACAAGTGTTGGCCTGCCATAACGCTTACAAGTATTTTATTGATGGACTGATTGAGTGTTTAATTGCTGCACAACATTGCACAGAAAAAAAAAACTAAACACAATTCATAAAAATTATTAATTTGTGTGATTGCTAGCGTTTAAAGCTCTTTCAAGAGTTTTCAATTCGTTGTACGCCTTTGTAACGGCATTGTAACAATTATTGTAGCATCAGCCTTCTAACGTCTCCTCATAAGCGCCTAGAGGTGCGCTACAATTGTTACACCTTTTTATTATATAATTTGTTTAGCAACAAAGTTGCATAGTAACTTTGTAGCTAAGTTTTAAAAGACAACGTCTGCTTGACCACGCGCCTGTCCTATATGCACACATTAATACGCACGCACACACACACACAAATATATATTATATGTTCACGCTTAAGCGTTGTGTATGTGTGTTTGCGCTTTTGTACTTATAGTCGCTCAAAATTAATCACGCTACAAGCCATAAACGAAAACAAATCTAGAAGTCGTAGAATTCATTGCTTTTATTATTGAATCGTCGCGTTAACACATACACGACTGCTTCGTAGGTGGCCATCATTATGGCTGTGTTAGGTATTTGACGCACCAGTTGTGTCGCTAAGCCTCTGCAAAGATAAGATAATGAAAGTATTATATATATGTATGTATTAATGCCTTCAACTGATTTTTTTGTGGTCAAATANAATAAAAATAATAATAATAAACGTATAATAACAAAAAACAACAACATAACGTTATAACAACAACAACACAAGTAAGGAGCCGTTTCAGCGTTAGCAATTACAATAACAAATATAATATGATAATACAAAACAAAAAATGAAGGGAAGTAATATTAACAAAAAACAACAACTGCAACGTGTTGTAACAAATGGAAAATCGTTAAAAATTCGTAATGTAAAAAATTGCGCAATAAAATGTATATAAAATATGAACCTTGCAAATCATTAGCGAGAAAAATATTAGTCAGCAGAAAAATGCTATGGCTGCGCAGTCGAAATTGAAACTATAGCGAATACAATTTAAAAAAATATAAAAAAGATATCTAAGTACTTAAAATGTATATTTTAACAAATAATAAGAAAAACCCATAAATTCGTGTCCAGCCAAATCATTAGCGAGAAAAATATTAGTCAGCAGAAAAATGCTATGGCTGCGCAGTCGAAATTGAAACTATAGCGAATACTATTTAAAAAAATATAAAAAAAATTTTCAGAATAAATAAAAAATATTGTTTTTTAATATTTAAAATATTGTTTTAGAGCATTTTTTGTATTTTACATTAGGCACATTTTGTACCTTTTACGAATTTCGAAAAAAATAAACTATTTTTCATGATTGGTAAATTTTATATACATTTTCATTTATTTTTTTATTTCCCTTTTTTTGAGAAGCCGCCATTTTGTCAACAATTTTTTGCTCACTCCTTCAATTTGTTACTATATTTAACATTACTTTAATAAAATCTGTTTGGTGTTTTAATTTCAGAGGATTCATTTCAGAGATATTACCCTCACCACAAACGTCTTTTTTGAGAGGAGCTCCCGGAGATCAGCTCTAGTTTCTTTCTACATAAATATTTTTACTAATACTAATTCTTAAAATTTAGTTAAAAGATACCATAATATGGAAAACTGTACACAACCCTATGACAAAAGACTAAATGTAGGCAACGTTTTTTTCTGCGCTCAAACGTGAGTTTAATAGTATACATTTAGGATGCAAATATATAAAGTAGACCATGATTTTTATTTCGGTGTAAAATTAATATAGTGCGATGGAGCAAAATCTGTTCACAATCGTTTTGAAAAAAATTCAGCTTTATCGGGATGAGTCGAGCAAGAACGCGTTTCATACCCAAAACATCCAACAAAATTATTCGAACGGACTCGCGAGAGGTGTCACTTGCCACATCCTTTTTTTTTTTATTTATTAGTTTCATCAGTTGAAGAGGTCGAAGGTTGCCCAGAACGAGGCATGTCCTCAACGATATCTCGACCGTCTTAGAAGACTCTTTTGAAATCTATTTTCATAGCTGATGATATTTAGAACAACCAGAGTGGAAAGTGCAGTAGGTTTAAGCAAATAATAATAACAACAAAAATATTCACGAGTTACTACTATTTACATAACTAATAAACAAACTCATTAAAGGTTGGCGAAATTCCACAGGGTGTTCATAAAAACCAGTGCAAATTGTGTGCGCGAAGTTCTACACGTCAAATACATTTTTGCGTTTTTATTTAAACAATTACTTAAAGTCTATTATAATTTAGCAAACAAGCTGAAAAACTAGAATAAAAAAAAAATATTTAAAAAGAAAATAGACTTTGCTTAGAATATTGTACTTTATGACGAGTAAAAATTCTAATGCGTCATTTGACAACAATAAAAATAGCAAATAAATCACTAAGGGACATAAAAGAATTTGACAGACCGTGTGAAGTGGCGCCAACATGTACATATGTATATACATATGTCTGTGTGTGTGTGTGTAAAAAATGTTTGCCTTATATTTCATTGAGATAAGCAAATTAAAAATAGACACATCGTATTGTGCATGTAATTGTACAAGGAGAATATTTGAAATACATACATGTATGTACGTAAAAGCACTGCAATGCTGACAGAGAAAGCATTTCGTTTCTTGCAATGATAAATATTAGCAGTCGAGGTCAGTTGTTGGAGAATTTTATTTGCAATTTGGTCATGGAAAAATAGCTTTTATGAAGACATGTGGGTATGTTTAAAAGACAGCTAAATATATCATATAGTGTTAAAACACAGACTACTACCTCGCAACATTACAATGGACTACAACACGTGCGGGATTTGCAGACAAAAAAGGACAGAGACCGAAATGCGTGAGTGCGAAGTACAAGCTGTCCGAAAGGCTCGAAAATTCTGCGAAAAGATGCGGCGACCAACTGAAGGTTTCAAGACCGGAGCAGCTCCTCCAGAAGTGGTCTAGTGACTGATACCCAGATCATACTGAAATTATGGAGGGAACACTTCTCCAGCCTGCTGAATGGAAGTGAAAGCATAACATCAGGAGTTGTTGAACCTGATTCCCCAATCGATGACGATGGAGCAGACGTTCCATTGCCCGACCCCGAAGAAGTTCAAATAACAATTGACTGTCTGAAGAACAACAATGCGACTTATTTATTATATTTTACACATATGTACAGTGGTGGCCTTATAATTAGAAACGATATGCTAGAAAAAATATAATCACTGTATATTTTTTTTTAAAACGCGTACTGTAAATTTCATTCCCCGTTATTCGTAGTGTAGACTTTGAACGTTATTGTTAAATAAACACGTGACTATTTGCTGATTGGTTATTGAAAAAATTAAAATTATTTCCCGGTTTGTGTTTCTTGGCTGGCCACGTAATTAGAAACGCGCAGTTCTTTCATCCGATTCTCGGATTTTTTTGAACTTAGCGACAAAGTGAGTATACTTCAATTCAACAACATTCAATTAAAAACGTTTTAATTATTAGAATGGCCAAAAAAAAGTCATGTACTCCCAAAATGAGAGATCAGAGAGTCATGTACTCCCAAAAATGGAATTTGGAGCTATTCGTTTGTATATAAAAAAAAAAAAAAGAAATTTGAAGTCGAAAAAACCGTATAATTTGTATGACGAGCAAAAACAACCCTTTCATGACTTCGCGCGAAATAAAGAGTGAAGTAGCATAAGAAATTAATGTAGAAATCTCAGCTCGGTGTTTACAGGAGTCGGCACTTCGTGGGTGCATTGCGTAAACAACAAAACGCTTGTATCAAAAAAAAAAAAATGTTAAGAAGCGGTTGCGATTTGTAAAGGAAATGCTGAAGAAAATACCCAATACTGGAATAGAGTTCTCTGGAGTGACGAATCTAAGTTCAATTTAATCCAGTCCGACGGAAAATCGTATGTAAGACGTCCTCCCAACATGGTGCTGAACCCCAGGTACACTGTAAAAACAGTAAAACATGGTGGCGGATTTGTTATGGTTTGGGAGCCTTTTCCTCTAGTGGTGTTGGCCCAATTGTGCCTGTTCAAGGGATAATGGACAAACATCAATATAACAACATTTTGGAGAATGTAATGGAACCATATCCTTTGAGAATATGCCAGTCCATTACATTTTTCAGCACGATAATGACCCTTAACACACTTCAAAATTAGTGAAAAGCTGGCTTTCGGTTAAAAATATTGATTTTTTGGATTGGCCTCCGCAAAGCGCTGATCTCAACCCAATTGAAAACTTATGGGCAATTGTAAAACGATGGTTCAACAAAGTTGGAACAGTGCAAACAAGCCAACAATTAATCCAAAGTTTATCGCGAAAGCTAAAAATGAGGGGTATCCAACAAAATACTAAAAAAATTTTCAATTTTATATGAATATTTTTATGTTGTTAAGGTCGCTTCTAATTATATGACTAAACTGAATTGGTGTTTACCTCATTTTGTTAAAAACAGAATTAATGTTGTTGTTGTTGTTTTTTAATGAGAAACTCAAATAAAATGTGTTACTTTTTTGATTTCAATTTATAGTTTTAATGTGGCAATCTAAATTTCTAAAATAAATTAAGAAAACTATATGCAGTAAAGTCGTTTCTAATTATAAGACCACCACTGTATATCTATTTTATAATATCTCCTTCAAGGTGTTATAAACTTCGTGGAAATTCTGGGGCATCAGAGTACGAAAAGAAAACTTAGAATATTATATTGTTCCCACGTCAGTCGTTTCTACATAACCAGAATGGAGTCGGATTTAATAGCGACGTAGTACTGACAACTCAGTAGCATTCCCCAAAATTAATTGCAGAATATTTTCTGCCGCTACAACATCAACAATAGCAACAACACTCACTACTAATACTTATATTAAATAATTTTTAAATTTTTCCATATTTAATTATTCGACTTACCGATAAAGTCCAGCTCTACCCTCCTCTTTCCACACAGTCTGCAATGTTTGGAAAAATGTGTTATATTTATTGCCCTCCTCACGCAGTCTTGTGCGTGCCACCTCATGTGGATACGCAATACAGGATGCTACAGTCTTTGAAACGGCACCAGCCATCATGAATTCCAGAAAATCCTTCGACGACTTGACATCTTCGTGACGTGAGTTGCGCATTTCAATCTGTAAAAACGAAATAAATATATTAGCAAAAAATATGTACATTATAGTGAACGCCATCTTACCAGTTTCGATTTGATAAACTCGTAAATGACAAAGTGTATCATTGTCTCACATATGCCAAAATAGCTGGCTGTAATGCCTTTGTAGAAACCGGCAATGCCGCCTTGTGCATACACTCGATTGATGCATTCTCGCACCGTCATTTGCACTTTCGAATTGTAGTCTAGCTGCAAGCGCGTCTTTACAAACCAAATGGGATTCGTTAGTGTAGAGGAGACAAAACCAGCGCTCGCTGCACTCATGATGTGCACTTGCGGTGACTCCGTTTGTATGTAACTGCAACAAAATTGTGCGAAAATAATATTTTTCTTAATTAACGTATTAAATTTGTTTGTAATAAGCAACTTTTACCAGTGGTAAAATTAGTGAATCGCTAAAAAACTGTGCATAGATCAAAAGCGGTGAGAGAGAGGTGTTTTCGTGAGAACGTGACCCACACGCCATACTGCATTGTTGAAGAGATACATTAATTGTAGTGGCGGCGATAGTTTTATCATGATATTTGGACCTACGTAAACGAGCGAGCAGCTTTTGTCGACTTAGTAAATTATCGAATCGAGTGCACCTTTGAAAAATATAGACGCAAATTGGTGCTCCGCAGTAAATTTCAACTGGCAACCACGTGTTCGTAGCCTTTTTCTGCATTATTGTCTATCGATTAAATATTTGTATTTTCCTAACATTTTCTGCCAATAATTTATGTATTTGAATACGTGAAATTTTTTAGTACTAGTCCAGTAGAACAAAACTGCGTATATTTTGCTTTATTATGAAACGGTGTAATAGATAGAAGGTGTTAAAATATTTAGATAAGAAAGCATGCGAAAGCCCTTAGCAGCTTGCATTATGGGATTTGGGAAAATTTGTTTATCAAGTGGTACTAAATCCATATCGAAAATGGTATTTTATTTCATTAAGATTTCCAGAAATATATATTTTAAAATTTTTTTAAATTTTTGTGCCGTTGAGATATAAGCCAAAAGATGTACATACTTTAAGAGTTATTTATAAATGCTGCGTGTGCAATTTTTTCTACTTGACCAGAATTAAATGACTTGTCTAATGCGAAAAAATGTATTTTCAAACAATTTTATTTATGAAGCTGCGTTTTCAGTGTCGAAAAATATAAATAAAATAGGAAACTCACCTTAAATTATTCAAAAAGTTCTTTGTCTGTGAGTAAGTGCAAAAATATACCGCCCGTGATGGCGCTACGCCAACGAGATTTGGGCCCAAACCTTTGAATAGTGCACGTGGACCCTCATTTTGTACTATGTACCTGGAAAAATAAAATAAAAAATTATTTTTAACATTATAGTTAAGTTAGATGCAGCAAAAAAGAAAAAATATTTATATCATACTTTACTCTATACTTACCTCAAGCACTGCATGATGCTCATTGACTTTGTGGAGGTGGATGAGATGCCGCAATGTGAAATAGCCATGATCTGTAGTCAATATAAGAGTTTAAAAACAAAAATGAAATATTATTTTCCAAAACTGTCAGTAATTGTTAAATTTTTGCTACGAGAAAACTATGAAAATAGAAATATTGAAAATTTGCATAAAATTGGTACTACCCTACGCACACCCCCAATCACCTGTGGCTGTGACCTCTTACGCAAAATGGTTGTGCTCAATTTACGACGCTGTTCGGGACGTAGCAATTCGCTAGCGCCATTGGTGGAACCGGGCGGTTCGAGACGTGTGGGTCCGAGAAAAGCATTGGAACTCTGTAAGCGTGTCTTAACCACTTCCAAGGGGCATGTGACGACAGCACCAACTGTGCCAGCAGTTCTGAAAAAAAGCAGAAAAAATAATAATTATTATAATATATTGTATTATGAATACATTTATACACATACAATTGTAAGCATATTTGCGACAATCAGCGAATGAATGAAGCAAGCGCATAGGACGTTCAATTGATAGTGATGCAAGTCTTGCAAAATAAACAGGAGGCTTGGTTATGTACAAAGTATACATACAAATACAAATATACATGTAACGCTTGAGCGTCACGCCATCCGACAAAGTACGTTTAAATTCTCGGTTGTTGGCAGGAAGACATTCTGTCACAATTTTATTTGATTTGCTTTTAAAAATGTCTTTATAAATAACCAAGCGCAATTGACGTGCGGCTCGTCATCACCGATGCATTTGAGCGCCAAGCGAAGGAACGAATAGCATTTTGTCGAGCAGAACCGCGAATAAGTGCTTAGTTTGCCATTTACAGTTCATCTTTCGCAGTTCTAAATTATTTACAAAAATGTCTAAATATTTATTTTATTTTTAATTTAACATCTTTGTTATGGAATATTAACGTTTAGGTAATATAGTAACGAAATTGTTTATTTTGACAGCAAAAATTTGGACACGTCATGTAACAGCAAACAAAAGAGTTCGAAAAAGGTAATCAGGAGGATTATCTTATGACGACCATATATTATACTAGAAAATTATGTGGACGAGAAGAATTGCTGTGAAGTGCTATAGTTTAAAAAAAAAAAAATAATAATAATATTTTTATAGTAACTTTTTTATGATCTGTGACACATTTTATGCATTTTTCTGTTACAATATATGTCTACTTTCATTTAAACATTTTATAGTAATTATTTTATAGCATGATAATTTTTATAGCAAAATAAACTTAGAACGGGAATATATTTTGATCATCATTTTATGGTGCATTACACCTTTTTATACTTTAAGTTGCAATATATGTATGCTATAATTTAAACCTTTTATAGTAATTTTTTATAGCATTCTAATTTTTAAAGCACACATTTTAAAGCATGACTTATTTTAATATATTGAATAATTCTGTATCGCAGATAGTCGCACGAATAAAGTATATTTTGATGCATTACACCGTTTTTGTGCTATAAAATATACCATGCTATAAAAAGTTGAAATTACAGATTACATATTTTGTAACCCAAAGAAACATAATGTTACAATATTTATAATATATATGCTATAATTTGAACTTTTTATAGCATGATAATTTTTATAGCACAAATTTTAAATTAAAATATGCCATATTTTTTAAGATATTGAATAAATCAGAATCGCAGATTACGACTAGCGTTTCCTTAAGGGTGTTAATTTATCAATTAACCGGCACTTGCTCGATTAAAGAGCTAATTTAGATGAATGAAAAGCGCAAGAGATCATGGTCTAAAAAGGGCTAAAATCACTCCGAGGACCTATTGTCACCAAAAAAGATTTTTGTTGGGATATAAATTTTAATCGTTTACTTTAAGCTTTTTTCCAACAATACCAGGATTAATTCTGAGTCTATTGTGATAAGAAATTGATTTCTCAATAAAAAAGAATTGATGAATAGAAAAAGTGTAGGATTCCACAAAAATAATGTGAGACCTCATATATGTAAGTTTAAAGACTCGCCGAAAGCTTTTGAAGCTGGAATGAGGTGTGCCATCATACTATATATTCTCCAGACTTGGCAAATTCGGACTGGTTCCGGTCTCCGCATTTATTTCAAATCAGGACATCAAAAACAACATAGACCAGTTTTTTGTCTGTAAGGATTACAAAATTTTTGAGATTGGTATCAATCTCTTGCTCGAAGCATGCCAAAAGGTATTGTTTTAAAATTGAGAATATTTCTAAAATTATTTAAAGGTAATTTTTATCCTGCCAGAAAACAAACTAACCAATTATAATTTATCATTTATCCATTATTGTGGTATGCAACCGACCACTGTGCGCATGAATGAATTTAATTAGTTTTGAAAAGTAAACAAAAGTAGTATATTTATATTTTCAACTCGCTTATCTCAATTAATACACATTTGCATGGTTTGGTCGATAATAAATAGAAAGTTCTAGTGCCAGTGAGCAAATAGTACCATAAAGAAGTGGCAAACAGAAAGTGAAAGGAAAAATTAAAGACAGAACAGTCGAAACAAATCATAAATAATAACAATATGATGTAAAAGTAATAAAAATATAAAAGTATTATGTAATATTTATACACATACATATGTACAAAATAAACGTATATAAAAGAGAGCTTAAAGTGCTTGAAAATTTATACTTATACACAAATAAAAAAACTTAAATATGAAAATTAATAATAAAAAATGTATTAAAATAGAAAACTGAAAATAAAATATACATAAGAAATAATTATAATAATTAATATAGGCTTTAAAGCCATACAACAAAAAACATACATAAATGTATTTATAATTCAGACCGAAATATGACGAATGACGAATAAATAAAATTATATTTTAAATCAATATAGACAGTTTAATAATAATCATAAGGCAAAATCAAGAAAACATTATCACCATCACTACCTCATCCCTAACGGAGTGGGGGAAAATCGAACAAGAGAGGAACGAACTGACGTGCCTCATTCGCACACGTTTTTTGTTTTGTTTTGCTTTTATAAAGAAAAATAAAACAACAAATAACAATAAAATGTAAAATCAACCACAAACCGACTCAAAGCAGTTTTGCCTGGGGTGACAACGGACGGCTACTGATAACCTCAAAATGTCAAACCGGTTTGACGTTTAGTGATAACAGCATTTAAGGAACAAATACCGGCTCAATGGACTTAAATCTTTCGAAAGCTTGGTCACAACTTGGTCTCGAAATAGAACAGCATACAGACAGACATACAGAGACGTATGTATACAGTTTGACGTAAGCTGACGTGAAAATATGGGATTTTATTGTGAAATTTTTGAGACAAAAAAAAAAGATACAATAATAACAGTACAAATGTACTGTAGATGTACAAATCGTGGTGGCAGACAGCTTATTGCAAAACGCATGCAAATAATATAAGCTGCGAGACGTTTGAAAAACACATGCTTTATTTCGAATTTTTTAAAAACAACAACAAGTCATATGAGTCGGGAGTAACTGTAGACTAAGTATTATTTATATGTGTAGGCATATATGTATGTAAATATGCTATTTTGTGCGCTTTCCTTGACTGCGATTAATTGAATACAATTTTTTCATAATTTTATTATATTTCAATAAATCATACGATTTGTGACGTCAGGTAATTTAATACCTATATGCATGTATATATGACAAATTAAGTGCATTCGCAATCAATCACATCGTTATGGCTGCAGCAACTGCCCAGCCAACAATGCATTGCAGTAAAATTATAGGAAAAAAAAATAATGCAAAAAATCCATGTACATACCTGGCTAAATTACACATAAAAGCGGAATGTGATATTTCTATGGCGCACTTGTAAATGCGCTTTCAGCACTACATACATCATACATATGTACTATATGTATGTATGTACATAGCTGCTGTGCAAGCTATTTACACTCAATTAATATAGTATAGCTATGAACTTGACTTGTAGCTTGGCTATTGTTAGTTTGGCGGTGCTGCACCACAGCCCACAATTGTTATTAGCTATCAGATTGCAAAGCGTGATTAGACTTCATACGAAGTATATGGTGTAAAAAACAAGTCTATTATGCATAATTAAGATAATTTAATTTGATTTACTTTATCAATGTACCTAAATCTGTGTATATAAAAAACAGAATATATGCGTATTGTGTTTATAATGAGGGGCATCATGAAATAGTACGGCGTCTAATATATTAAAAGCTGAGGGACTAGTTCGTATATATAAGAACGTACGGATGGAAGGACAGACAACGCTTTTTACTCGTCAGGTTAAGTTGTCAGTAGGGTAATCTGGTCTGTTTTTTTGACATTTTTTTTTCATAGAAATTTTTGTTCTACAGTAACACTTTTCCCACATATCATGAGAAATATCGTGGAGTGTATAAACAAATCTTTTCGGAATTTTTTATTGACATCTGTCGGAGAAATGGCTGGGTGAATGAGATGCGTTTTTCACTGGCGGACACGATACAAAAACCCAATTTATTATTAAAAAGTATATCAGTGGTTATCGTGCCTACTATAACCATGAAAAAATGTTGATACAGAAAAAGTAATTACCGTTTTTTTTTAATTTTTCTCCATGTTTTTTTTTCATAAATTTTGTCATTACATTGGTAATAAATTATAAAAAATATAGGGACGATAGTCAGACGTTGTGCGAACATTAAAAAAAAATAAGCAAATCGGTTGAATAGTTCGACCGGAATCATGTCCACCAGTTTAAAGTTTGAAGTGTGCACTCTGAGCGCTCCGAACGTCGAGCGGTATTATTATTTTTGGACCTTTTTAGAAGCTTTCAATGTTAGATCTCGACTTAAAATGCGTCCTTACGTCAGTAAAAGTTGCTGCGAATGGCGCCGAATCGACTCTCTACGCTGGCCATATTTTGTTTACTGCGCGCTGGACGCGGTATATTCGGTTGAATATTATCCAATAATGAATGCTGGGTCCCAAGATGGATGTTAGTACATGGTATATATTACATGTGAAAACAAAAACAAACTTATCCAGTTGAATTCAATACAAAAACCTAATTAAAGTAATATAATCGCTTAATCTTCAACCTTTTTTTTTTATACCAGTTTATTGAATTTATACCAGCTGTTTGTTCGATTCGCCAGTCTTTAAAGTGTACGAAATCGAATTCAACAATTATAAATTGAACTAAGCAGACGATATCTACACAAAAAAAAGTGAAAATAATAAGACAAATTAACTTAAAACACTTTAAATTGTTTGCTGGCGTCCAAATAGTTACAACAAATACACTTAAGCATGAAAATAGATTTTCGGCGAATAGTTTGCTAATGCAAAAAGCAAAAGAAATTAACAATAAAATGCAGCTGTTGTGCAATCCATGAGCTGTT